AAACGCTCTTAGATGATTCTTTCCGTTGTTATGTATGAAGCACCTGCAACCAAAGACATGAAAATAACTGATACTAGGTGTTTTACCTTTCCATAACTCATATGGTGTCTTGTTGTGAGATTTGTTGATCAAGGATCTATTTTGTGTATAGCATGTCGTGTTTATGGCTTCAGCCCAAAATCTCTTAGGTAGTCCTGAGTAAGAGATCATTGTTCGTGCAGCTTCTTTCAAAGTTCTGTTTCTTCTTTCGGCTACTCCGTTTTGCTGAGGAGTTCGTGCTGCCGAAAGTTGGTGGAAAATCCCATTTTGCGCACAAAATTCCTTTATGACTTTGTTGACAAATTCCGTTCCCTGATCTGATCTTATTCGTATTATTTTGAGCTCATTTTCTATTTGAAGTTGTCTCAAAAGATTTGGAAGAACTGTTTCTGTTTCATTCTTCTTTTTCAAGAAAAGCACCCATGTATATCTTGTGTAGTCATCTACTATAACGAGAGTATACTTTCTTCCACTCAAACTTGCTGGATCAATTGGTCCAAAGAGGTCCATATGTAGAAGGCTTAGTGATCGAGAGTTTGCATCTGCATCTTTTGACTTGAAGGATGACTTGAATTGTTTTCCTTTTTGACATGACTCACATATTTTATCTTTTGTGTAAGATGCTTCGGGTAGCCCTCTTACGAGATTTCTCTTGGCAAGCTTGTTTATCGTCTTCAAATTCAGATGACTTAGTTTGTTGTGCCATTCTTGATTGAGATCTGCATTACTCTTGGCTACAAGGCAAACGTTAGCATTAGAAGAATTTAAAGATAATACATACATATTCTTCTTTCGTTGTCCCGTTAAAGCTGTCTTGTTATCTTTCGTGTTCACGATTTTGCATTCGTCTTTGAGAAATTCTACTTTGTATCCTTTGTCACAAAATTGACTTGTGCTTAGAAGATTGAACTTCAGTCCTTCAACATAAGAGACATCTTGAATTGTTATTCCCTTGTTGATGATGTCCCCTTTTCCACGAGTTTTGCCGCTATTTTCACCTCCAAAGATAACTTTGGGTCCATCTAATTCCTTAAAGTTGCTCAACATTGTTTTGTCACCAGTCATATGTCTTGAGCATCCACTATCAATATACCATATGACCTATTTTTCCTGCATCAAAGATTATGTGTTTTTAGGTACCCATTTAGTTTCGGGTCCTTGGGGGTTAGCAGTCAATTTTGGAACCCACATCAACCTAGAGTATCCACGACTCATCCTTGGTCCTCTATATCCATTAGATGTACGATAATCATAATGGATGCTGGCAAAGACTTTAGCATTATATTTCTTACGTTGATCTTCCTGAGGAAGATTTTCATAATGCTTGAGATGATTGGTTTGTTTACGCAGATGAACCATTTCAAATACTGCTCTTGGGAGAGGTTCTGGGTAATCAAACCAATCTCCTTCTGATGGCCTAGTCCATCCATTGCCATACCCAGATCTTTTGAAGGATCTTTCGGGTTGTCTGATTTGTTCGCTTCTTGAGATTCCTTGTGCAGGATTCTTTCGTGTGAATTTCGGACGATATTGCCTCTGGTTAACATTCGTCTTTTTATTGGATTGAGTGTTCCAGTTAGGCTGACCCTTTCTATGGCGTAGATTTTGTTTATTGCCATTTGGTCCATTCCTTTTGACATAGATTTGTCTAGGATTGCCATTACTAGATTTCTTCTTTCCAGATTCCACAATTCGTTGTACAGCCATGCCTTTCGGTTGGCTTGTTGATTGTGGTGTTTCGACATTGTTAACTACCATCATAGGCTCAGACACCTGGGTGGTTCCTTGAACAAATGCGGCCTCGAAGCTTTCGTGTGAATATGCATTCGCGGATTTGTTCAATTCGACTTGTGAAGAGGAGCTGGGGTTAAAACCAATTCCAGTTCTTTCCCCGGGCAGTCTGGATTCATTCATCATTCTATCCATTAGGTTGGATGAATTATTGAATTTATCCAAAACTTCAAGCAGTTCTTGCTCTCTCTTCTCTTTTGCTGTGCACAGCTCCTTTAGAGCGAGAACATCTTTCTCAAGCTGTTCCTTAGCAATGACTAGCACATTGTTCTCAATACGAACTTGCTTTAGTTCATTATAGCTAAGCAAGAGCCGAGAGTTCTCCTCCATGAGTTTGGAGTAAGTGCTATTTATCACATTGAACCTCCTTATCATTTCGGTGACAGATTCATTGGAGGTAAGACTTCTCACAGAACTCGATTCAGCTGAATAACAAGAGGATGAATGAGAATTTAACTCGTCTTCATCTGCCATGAGACATAGTTCGTCTGACTCTTGACTAAATAGGCACAGCAGTCCTTTCTCCTCATCAGCGCTTTCATCTTCTGAGCTAGAGCTTGAGGAGCTACTTTCGGTTGCGACTGTGTCAGAAGTTTCGTTCACTACTATTGCCTTCCTTCTTCCTTCCTTTCTGGAGTTTGATGATTCAGGTTTGTCGCTTCTTTTATATTTTTCTCCAGTCTCTTTTGAAGGACTTGTGGTAGCATTGTTATCTTGATGTTTGCTCACTAAGGGATGTGGACAGTTCGCCTTGAAGTGTCCTGGCTTTCGGCAATTATAGCACAGCAGCTGAGAGTCCATGGTTTCAGTTTTTGAGGTTTGAGGGAAGTTCTCGTGCTTCTTTCGGTGGCTCGAACGTTGTGGGTCTTGAAAGTTGTTCTTTCTCATGAATCTTTTCATTTTCCTGACAAATAGTGCATATTGTTCATCAGATAAAAAATCACAAGAGTTAGATTTTGACCTATTGGATGTTGATGCTGATTGATTTGCCATGAGAGCAATGTTTCTTGTTTCTGAATCTTCGGCATCTTTTGGTTCATGTTCGAACTCATAAGCTTTGAGATCACTGAAAATTTTGGCAGTGCTTGTTGTTTTCATGTCTCGACTATCCCTCATTGCAATAACCTTCATTTCCCATGATTTAGGTAGACCACGAAGGATCTTCAGATTCATTTCCTTCTCAGTAAGTTCTTTTCCAAGATCTAATAAATCGCCCATCAGTCTGGTGAATCTGAGTTCCATATCCATGATTGATTCGTTTGGCAGCATTTTGAAATCTTCAAATTTTTTCATAGCCATTGTCAGCTTGTTGTCCTTTTCTTGCTCGTCTCCTTCTCCCAAACTCATTAGTACATTCCACACTTCCATAGCATTCTTGCATTTTCGAACTCTGGGAAACAGGGAATCATCCAGAGAGATGTAGATAATATTTCTTGCTACATTGTCCAGATTCGCTCTTGTTCTTTCTTCTGAGGAGTACTGGTCTTTTGGCTTTAGTATCATTTGTGGAGCTCCTGCTCCCTGTGCGGCTGCTTAAGCATTTGCCATCATGATTGTGATTGGTCCGCTTGTTACGACGTCCCACATTTCATCATGAATGGAGCATAGGAGAGCCTGCATTCTTAACTTCCAGTCATCAAATTTAGCAAGACTAAATGCAAGTTGTTTGGAGCGATGAGCATGTTCCTTTTCCATTTTTTTTTTAAAAAAAAAACGTGCAAAGAAAATATGCAAGATTTTCAAGAGATTTTTGAATAGAGATCTACCAGGCAGTAAATGCAAAGCCTTTATCGATCAAGGTATAGGCTCTGATACCACTTGTTGGTCCCGATAGAATGAGATGAGAGTCTAGAGGGGGGGGCGGGTGAATAGACTCTTTTCGTTAGAAGCCCTAAACGTCACCTTTCAGTGTCTTGGCGCAGCGGATAAGATAGATTTGTTTTAGATACTTTGCACGAGTTTGTGTAATTAGACAAACTTTCGGTAAAGATAATAAAGGAATGATATGAATGCAAAAAGAAAAGCGTAAGTAAAGAGTTAGAGGGGACACGAGATTTTATAGTGGTTCAGCCAATGTTGCCTACTCCACTCTTCTTCCACAACTGTTGGAAGGATTGCACTATCACTCTTAGTACAAGTACACAAAGACCTCCTTGATCACTAAGCCGGACAGCCTTCGTAGGTTTTTCAACTCCTCGAGTTTACTCCGTCTCTATCAACTTCTTCTCCTGAGTTGAGGTTGGTAGAAATGATTTCTTGTATTCTCCAACGATGAGGTCTTGACTCTGAGATATGATTGCTTCAAACAGATATCAAGACTTCCTTGAGGTGTAAGACAAATGATTCTTCAAGTAACTTAGCACCTCAAAACTGGTTCACAAAAGCTTTTAGTAAATTGTAGACTTTTCAAGAGCTTTTGTAAGTGAGTAAGTCAAGTGATAATGAACCAGCACCTTCTTAGCTGATGAAGGTGTGTTTTTATAGGTGATGAAAATTCATCCGTTGGAGGGAGATGAAATTTTCAAAACCCTTTAACCATTGGACAAGGACCGGGGAGCTTCATGCATTAAATGCTCCATTAATGAGGTTGTACCATGTAGCCGTTGAAGGTATGGAAAGCATTAGGATTTGTCTTTTAGCTCCAGGAGATGGTACATCTTCATTTAATGCCTTTGAAAAGTGTGTCCCATAAGATGAAGTCCTTATTGTCCTAGGATGTTGTCAAAACAGACAGGTGGAACATTCTTCTCGTTGTTGAAGAGAAGTAATGCTTGATAAAGATCGTTTTTAACAAAAACTGTCCTTTCGTGCTTGTTGACAACTCCTGCTTGACTTTCGTTGTTGTTCTTCATGTCTCGTGTCTTCTTTCGCCTTGGAGACCCTAACATCTAGTCATAACTCATTTTCGTGTGTTTGTCTAGCTTAACACGAATTACAGAGGAGTTATGGCAACTCTCGTCTAGGATGAAAGCAGCGATTAAAAAGAACTAAAGGTTAGGGGTCTACTTTTCTACATTACATTGGTATCATCAAAATCCTAATACAATGTTCCTAACATTCCCAACCTGACCTCGTATTTATCATCAAGAAGGATACTGCTAGATTGAATATCCCTACAAAGCCAAGATGAAGAAAATGATTAACATTAATGAGAAATCAGAAACCAACACAGCCTACCTAGCAGAAGAGAAGAGATGGAATCCGCCGTCATTTCTAACCCACAATTTCCTACACTTTTAACTACTCCGTATTTAATTTCTGCTGCCAACAAGCTAACAATCACTTTCATCACAATCACCTTAAATAACACTTGATTGCTCCATCTCTCTATCTCTGTGCCCTATACATTATTACCCTGAAATTCAAAACATAAAAATAAGTCAGCTAACCATCTTTCCAATACTTGTTACAGGTATTATCACTGAAAAAATATATTAGGAGTTACCTTCACTTATATGCTTTAATAGCCTGCTACCATCTTCAATCATATAACCATTTTCAGGCTAACCGTGATAGAGTTCACTTCTACCACCCCTTGTTTAGCCTCCATTTCCCCGTTTTCAATAGGAGCAATAGGCTGTTTTTCAGCTGCAACTTGTTCAACTACACAGTCATTTTCCAGATTTTCTGAGGTTGGCTTCTCATTCATCACCACTTCTGCTATTTCATCTAGAAGACTCATTGCAGCCTCCTTAATGATTTCATTAGCCTCATGATTCAGTCTTTTTTCCATATCAAGTTCAAGTTTATTCTCTTTGCCATTCTATCGAGCAGTTACAGGTGCAATATCACAATCTGCTGGAGTCCTCTTAGAGACATTTTCACAATCAGTTGGAGTGCATTCTTTACCCTCTACAGGGCTATACAGCCCTTCATGGTCATTATTACAAGCAGGTTGTGAGCTAGCTTTCTCAGCCTCTCTTTTCAAAATACCAGCACCACCCCCAAACCTCCGGCAGCCTGCAAGGCTGTGTCCAAAGCATCCACAACCTGTACAATATCTCGGCAGCTTATCCACCTCTACTTTTTTCCAAAATCCACTCACAATACCTCCATCCCCAACATATTCAATCCAAATTCGATCAACAAAGGGCTTAGATGCATCAATCTCTAATTTCAATTTGGCCACACTTGGCTTTGTTTTTCTAGTCGTAGCTGCGTCCAGAGACACAACCCGACCAAGAGGCTCGCAAATTTTTGCTAGAGCATATGAATTGAATAAATGAATCGGCAAGGAGGGCAACTGAATCCATACCAGTGTCCATGGCGAATCCCTATTGGTCCTCTGCTCCAGCGTCCATCTAGCTAGCCAAAGACGATTGCCAGTTACTGCAATCTGATTTCGAAGCCACACACGTCTACAATCAGCCTCTGATGAGAATCGCAAAAGGATGCACCGTTTATCAAGCGATCCAATGTGTAACTCCCCTTCTGGCCGTAGAGTCTCGCAACTCCGTTCTTAAACGGTCCAGCGTAGGTCGTTCTCTTGCAAAGCGTCCCACCAAGGAGAATTTCTCCTCTGTTCTCACCAAATTCGTCCATTCTGAGAGCGAGAACCGCACCGATGGACTTCTATTCAACCAATCAGAGCCGGCAACGATGGAGCTTGTGTGATGGCGACGTGGACCGTGTGCGATTTTTACGATGGAGGTAGTGAAGTGGGGACGATGGTAGCTAAGAGGCTGATGAGAGCGTGGACTGGTAGTGATTGAATAATTTGGCTTTGATCGCGACAAGTTAAGGAAAAAATAATAATCAAAATTGACCAGGTATCCGCGGCACCTTTTTGAGAGGGTGCCGTGGATACCATTATTATTATTTTAATAATAAAATATTCGAGACACCTTTAGCGGGTGCCGCGGATTCTTGTATTATTATTTTAATAATATAATATCTGAGGCACCTTTTATAGCGAGTGTCGCGGATACCTTTATTATTATTTTAATAATATAATATCTGAGGCACCTTTACCCGGTTGGTGACACGGAAAGTTTTATCATTTTCTTTCTACAACACCTTCTTCCTAAAGGTGTCTCAGAAAGTAGGTCTTGTATTCTCAATTTTGTACTAGTGTAGAGTGAATAAACAAAGACACATTAGTTTTCGAGGAAGCAAACCCAGCAGAAACCAAAAAAATCATGTAACCGGGTAAACCACGCCCGCGGAGCCTGTTTAAGACCATAGAGCGACCGTTGTAGCAAACAGACATGACCCGGTTTACTCTTATCTTCATACCCAGGCGGCTGACGCATATAAACGGTCTCCCACAAATTGCCATTGAGAAACGCATTGTGAATATCAAGCTGCCGGATCACCCAGTCACGAGACACGGCAAGAGAGAGCAACAAACGGACCGTGGTGGGTTTGACCACCGGACTAAACGTATTGAAAAAATCCTGACCAGCCACTTGGTTAAACCCCTTGGCCACGAGTTTGACCTTATATCGCTCAACAGAACCATCCGCCTTACGCTTAGTCTGGAAAACCCACTTACAACCGACAATATTATTCATACCGTGAACCTCCGGAACTAGCCGTCATATGTGATTATGCAATAATGCATTAAATCCAATGTCCATCGCCTCACGCCACTGCGGAGATTTCACCGCTTGAGAAAAGCACGTTGGATCCGGATTAGAAGGCTGAGCAACCAGTGCCACATGATCCCCGGCAGCCACCCCCATACTGCGCAAGGACATAGAGTGCGACCTCGGGAGGAGCTACCGACGCCGAACCGGAGCTTTCGTGGGTGTTGTGGCAGTCGCTGCTACACTGGATGGAGCAGCAGCACGCAAAGGCATCGCCTGTTGTGAGTCAGACACGACACCAGTCTCCTGTGCTGCACGGGGAGCTGCCAAAACAGGTAGTGACGGCAAGCAAGAGGCAACACGCACAGAGACCACAAACCACGGATCAGATGCATCTCCAGAGTGCAAAACCTGCGGAGCAGAAGCAAAAACAAAAGGGAACACAGATTCATCAAATCTCACGTGTTGGCAAACAAAAACCTTATTAGTGGCAAGATTCATGCAACGATAACCACGAAAAGAGTCAGGATACCCTAAAAACACACAGGGAGCCGACCGATACTCAAGTTTATTTTATTATACGGGCGAAGTAATGGAAAACAAGGACACCAGAAGACTCTCAGAAAAGAATATGAGGGAGGAAAGCGATATAGTAAATGATACGGACTCGAATTCCCCAGAACAGACGTGGGCAATCTATTAATAAGATAGACTGCGACCTCAAAAGCATACTCCCAAAACCGAATAGGAACATAAGCCTGAGCCATTAAAGCAAGGCCGGTCTCAACGACATGACGATTTTTTCAGAATCGCGGTCGTGGTCAGAAATAGGCAAACATGCACCATTTCCAACACGGAGAGTGTCCGGGCCAGTATACTCAGCCATAGAGGACATCACCGAGGCATCCGGGGTGGCGTGATCGTATCACCGGTGTCGGGGAACCAATCATGAGGACCCGCAGAATCAGCATCACCAGCCTGAAAAGCCATATGAGCCTGACGAGCCAGATCCTGAGCATAACGCTGAAAGCACGTATGAGCAGTGTGCCCTTGGGCATGGCACAACTAACACCGCGGAACATAAGAGCGGCCATCACCAACGCGATTCTGACCACGACCGCGGTCGCACTGCCCACGGCCACGGCCACCCCGACCATGCTGGCCACCAGACCTGCCGCCACGCTGTACAGCCATAGCCTCCGGACCAGAGGGCCCCCCAACAGCACCATCGTCCGCACAGATAAACTCGTGCGCAACCAGAAAATCCGCGAGTTCAGTAAGAGAGACCGGCTCACCTGTCGTCAGAGTCGCCGCAAGAGGCTAATACTCCGAGCGCAACCCACGGAAAACATACAAATTTTGGTCATCCAACGAAACATGGCGACCGGCCAAGGCCAAGTCCTCGACTATGACCTGCGCACGACCAAGGTAGTTGGCCACTGACTCAGTCCCTTGCCGAAGATTTTGCAACTGTCCAAGCAAACGGAGAATACTTGCGCGAGTGGTCGAACCAAGAGCACGTTCAATCGCCAGCCAAACCTGCCGAGACGTCGTCCGACCTACCACATGATGCATAACCTCCTCAGAGAGAAAGAGGAGATTAGCATCGAAAGGACTGCTTGGTCTTGCTACAACCACATCGCACAAGCTACAGACGGATCGGGCACAGCAGACTCGGCCACGGTAGCATCAGGAGAAACAGCGACAACGGGGGCGATAGAAGGACAAGGATACGTGCCATCAACGAAGCCAAGCAAACCCTGACCACTGAGAAAAGGCACCAACTGAGTCCGCCAGAACAAATAGTTCCGGGGCGTGAGTTTCACCGAAACAAAATGGTGAGCAGCAGAAAGCGAAAGATTAGCCGTAGGAGCCGTCACGCCTGGAACCGAGACAGTTCGTTCGGAAGAGACGGCGGCGTTACTGGCTTGCTGATCCATCGGGAGAAAAAAATAATAAAGAACTCGGGTCTCTTGATACCAGATGAATGTAGTTGTATATTGATGATTATAATCAGACGACAACACAAAGGATATATACAGCAAGGAAGTAAAACTAAAGTCCTAGTCTAACACACACAAGAATAGAATTCTAGTCTACCGTAAATACAAGTCCTAACAAATACAATATAACACCACCCCCACTAACAATAAAAGTTTGCATAGTATTCCAATGCTCTGAGAAGTTTATAATACAACCGCCATTTGTATACAAAGCTAAGTATCTCAAATGGACAAGATTTGCATGCACTTTTAGGTATATATTTGCATCCAAAGCTCTATATCTCATGTCTAGTACTCTTAGTAGTTTCAAGTGTGAAAATAGAGGTTTCACATCTGTATCCCAAGAATAGTAAACATGAGTTAAGTGAAAGGAATGAGATTTGTGAAAACACTCATCTTCAAACCTGAATATGTTATCATAGAAAGATGTTGATGTATGAGTTATCCAACAAGGTTTTTTTTAACTCCGTTGACATTCAAGAGATTTTCAAGTCTAGCTTCCCTCAAGCACAAATCTCGTAACAAATCATAGATCCTTATTCTCTTCATTTCCCCATTGTGACTTTGTTTGCTAACTATAACAAGACTTCTATCAACAAGATCTTGCAAGCATTCCATAGCCACTTCCTCCAAATTCACATGCTTCACAACCCTCAAAAATCCCACTGCTGTCCACAACCTAACCAACTTCCTCACGGGGATCTCATAGTCTTCCCGAAAAACTCCAAAATACAAAAGCAAGCTTTTAAGTGGTGTGGTAATTGGTTTTAATTCATATATAGTACTCTGGAAAATGCATCATTAAAATCCCCAATTATACTTTTTGCAACATTCTTCCACTTTTCCTTATCCTCCTGTGTGTTGGAGAGAAGACTAGTTACTATAGTAATAGCTAGAGGTAATCCTTCTCATTTCTTTACTATGTCTCTACCAATTTGCTCAAACATTAAAGGGAATTTAATTTTACCAAACACTTTGCAGTAGAGACTCCAACTATCATCGGCATCTAAGAAAGGCATGTTAATGGTAGAGTTACCTGAGCTAGCATATTTAGCCACCACTTTGAGCCGAGAAGTCAATAGTATACAACTTCCATTATTATCATCTGGAAAACATCTTTTAGGACTATCCCAAGCAGTAGTACTCCATATATCATCGATCACTATCAAATATCTCTGACCTTTCAAACATTATACAACCTTTCTGCTAATTGGTATTGGTCATTGCTCTGTTCATGGAGTTCATCTCTTGATGCTGCAATAACACAACCAATAAGGCACCGGAGCATTCGTTCCAAGTTATACTCTTAGGATACAGTAACCCATGCTCGCTTGTCGAAATAAGAAGTAACTGATGGATCTTCATAAAGTTTGTGTGCTAAAGTGGTCTTGCCTATTCCTCTCATGCCAACAATGGAAACAACTTGTCTCCCCTTAGTTGATTGTTGCATGAGCTTATCCAATATCGTCATGAACACCTCATGGCATCCCACCATTCTATTGTCCAAATTTGATGCACTTTTGGAAAATTTACTCACAGTAGTGTTCTTGTGTGCTAATCCTTTCACAAGCAGTAGTCCTCTTCGTCGCATCCGACCAAAGAGTGAAGCATCATCAGTGATTGTTTCATTTTGTGATGAAGCCGCCTTTGCAATTAGTGGGTATTCACTTTTGATCCTAATCATCAACTCATTCTTGAGGTAATCAGTCTGTTTTTCTGCTTCAATGAAGATTTCATGAAGCCTGAGCACGCAAGCTGTTATATGAAGACGAGTATCCTTTGCTAGATAAATGGTAGTCAACTCCATCTCAATCCTTTCTTCGGCTTTGAACAATACATCTCTCATCTCTGCCTCTACATCTTTCATCGCCCCCGCATTATCATAACAGATCTCAGATTTTTCAAGACTTTCTTGGAGGAAACCAAGATTTTGATGGAGAGAGACCATCTTTTGTTTGACTTCACCCACCTCTCTTAGCCGAGAACTCAATAGTATACTATCCCCAGCATTAGCGATTCTTTCATTTTGTGATGAACTCTCTGCAAGCTGCTTTTCACTTTTAATCATCTTCTTCTTCTTGGGGTAATATTCAGTCTGTTTTACTCCATGAAGCCTGCTGGGGAGGCAAGCCTTTATACATCTAAGATTTTCATTTCCATTTGAAGACCCAGACGCTTTGTCCACTTCCACTGCCATATCCTCAAGAATTTGCTGCAGCAAGCCAAGATTTTCATTGCCATCTCTCATCTGTGCCTCTAAATCGTGAAGAGGCAAGCGTGGTTGTGATTGCAAGAAATGTAGAGAAAGTGTTTCCATAAGTGAAGTTACAGCAGCGTAAGCCATTAGCATGCGTCTGTCGATCAGAGTACAACTAGGAAGAATTACAAAGAAATCAAAGATCTTTTGTTTTTTGGTGAATCAGTCTGGGCAAATTTGAGAAGACACTCTACAAGAAATGGCTCCAAACGCTTCCAAACTTGCAGGCCGGCGGTGACTCCAATGTAAACATGAATGAGTCCAAACAAACAATACATCATCATTCTAAAATTAGCTTCTTTCTTTCTTGTCATAATGGCAGTTTTAGTCCCTATATTATAAGATAAACCATATTGTACTTCTTAATTATCATAATTATTTATAAACTTGGCTCTTAATTACTCACAAATTAGTTAGTTTGTCGTTCAAAAATATATTAGAAACCAAAACAGTAACTTTTATATGCGACTATTTAATTGAGTGAATTCCAATTTTGGTCCTACTGTTATAGGGGCGTTTCCTATTTCAGTTCACTTTAATTTTTTTTGCCACTTTACAACCACTGTTATTGAATGTGTTCCACTTTTAGTCCACCGTTAATATTTCCGTCAAGAGGCCGTATAATCAAAGGGTATTTTGGTCTTTTTATGTTTGTCTCTTCTCTTTTAATCCAGGCGCTTTGTCCTCCTCCTCCGATATTCGAAGATGGCTCTTCGAACAACGAGAATGGGAAACAAAAGCTACATCGTTTCGTTCGTTCCAACATGGGCCGGTGAGGTTTCTTAGGTTTTAGGTTTAATGTTCTCATTTCTTTAGTCAAACATAGTCTTGGATGAGAAGAAAGGTCAAAATACCTCTAGATTACACGGCCTCTTGATGGAAATACTAACGGTGGGACTAAAAGTAATTATAATCAAAATAGTTTTATCTTGTCGATATTTGATTTATTTATTATTATTTTTTCATTGGGTTCTGTTTAAAAAATAATAAATAAATACATTAGATCTAGACAAGACAAAACCATTTTGATTATAATTACTTTAAAATATATCATTATGTTCGTGGATTATAATAAAAAAAAAACATAAATAAAGTAAAATTTGGCAATCCAGTCAACAAAAACCTGGAGTTAACCTATTAAAAATGTTAATTGCTCTTTTTTTATGGGTTCAATGGCTTATTTGGGGGTTATTTGAGTTCGGTGGCTTAATTGTTGTTTCCCAAATAGTTCAGTAGCTTATTTGTACTTTATCCCTAAAAAAAAAAAGTAATACTTTTACATCAAAATGTAAAAGTATTACATTTTCTCATATAATAAGTAACAAACATTTTATTTATGATTTAGTATTACATTTGCTAGTATAAGTTAATAGGGAAAATACCCCGGCCTTATGTACTTCTTGTGCCCAGGACCTGGTCGGATTCGAACCGCCTCGAGACACGGACCATTTCCGAACCTGAACCAACCGCAACACAGCGCTTGACCGACCCGACCTGAAGGCTAATTAACGCATTGGCTTAATGAGCCGTTGCCTTAACTTCACTATGCTCAGTCCTGACCTGATCGTCCGCCCAAGACCCCCGAGCACATATACTTTCCATATAAACATGATTCCAATAAGCAATCAGTTAGTCAGACACATCTGTACATGTGTTCGTCATCTCTCCTCAGCCGACCCGGTTAGCAAGTGCATGGAGGGCACGTGGCGCTCATGTCAACCTCTCGGCATGTGTCCCTCACTCCTACCTATAAATACCCCGCTAAACGCTTGAAGGGGGGGACCTTTTGGTACGATCTCATTTATTTACAAGAACGGGACCACAAAAATAGAGAGACAGATATAATAGAAAGAGACCTAGCTAATCTTTTTGGAATGAACAAGCTAGCTAGGATGACATTTCCATAGTGGTTGTTGCCTTGCTCATCTTGAATCCACTTTGCGGAAGCTAGTAAGGAATCCCAATATTCGTATAATTGAACTAATGCTAGTGTGATGATATCAGTAAAACCTTTAGGAATCTCTTCCCCATCATGACATTTACGTAATGATAAGCATTCAAGCATAGAGAAATGGTGACCGGTATAGTAGCATTCCAATCATGGAAATTACTATTTTCTATTACCAACCTCTTCAATGCACGGAATCCACCATCTAATGCCTCCCACTCTCCTAAACCGCACCCCAACCATGGCCACCTTTCACTTTTAGAACCTGTAGATTCGGTAGCATACCAATAAGCCTCATATATATCACTCCATGGTAGGCAGACAGGGCCGGATTTTAGGCTGTGCAAGCTGGGCTACCGCACAGGGCCCCCAATTTTAGAGGGGCCCCAAATTTTAGAGGTTCAATATTTAATTTTTACCTAGCTAGTTTAAAAATAAAAATTAAAAAGTTTTCAATTAAACTTTAAAGGTTTCATGAAGAGATGGTAAGAATGTGTATTTATTGTATTTTAACTTGGAGGTCAAAGGTTCGAAACTTGCATGTATTAGTTTTAAAAATTATGATTTTGGTAGGGCCACATTTATTTACTAGAACAGGGCCACCAAAACTTAAAATACGGCCCTGAGGCAGATAAGTACTAATTAAAGAAGTTGAGCTTCTTAAGATTTGATAGATTTTCAGAACGAAAATCATGTCACGTCGATTTTTATTTTTATTTTTTAAAATTGGAATCCTGGTAAACATATGCTTTAATTTGTACAGAACTAACAGGGCGTTTGGTTGGAGGGATTTTAAATTCCCTTCCCACTTAATTCCCACCTAATTCCAAAGGCCATTAAATTCCGTACTTTGGTTGGAGGGAATTGCAATTCCCTCATTTTCATGGAATTAAAATCCCATGTCCTCCCTGGTATTTTAATTCTTGAGAAAAAAAGATAGTGATGAGTCAAAATTATCCCTTCCTTTTTTAATCTAAAATTAATGTCTAACAACAATAATGGATATTTTTGACTTTATACTACTTATTCCCTTTCAATTCCCATGTATACCAAACATTGGAATTGAAATTCCCAGTAATTCTATTCCTATCAACCAAACACTGGAATTTAAATTCCCACTTTATTCCCAGTAATTAAACTCCCATGGAATTACAATTCCTTTCCCACATAATTCCCCCCTCCAACCAAACGCCCTATAAGGATCCAACCAACCAACCAATTAGATATATTCTGATCTCAAAGTTTCTATGAACTACAGACAAAGTTGCACTTGAAATGAAGAAAGACAAGTCATTAAAAACAGAGACTCCATATATTACAGAACTAATTAATTTCCCAGCAACATCAAATCTATACAATTAACCCAACAGAGTAGCTCAAGTGGCAAATGAGCTCTCTTTGTGGGAGAGAATTTTGGGATAACTCGAGTTCGATTCCCACAAGTGACAATTTTCTTTGGGCCAGCTTCTGTGCCTCTCGGAGCGAACTGGGTGGACCTGGACCACAATGTGGTTTACACCAAAAAAAAAAAACCTGTACAATTAAACAGATCCTCTGTACATAACTTAAAATATGAAAAAATTCGCCAATGTAACACCCTCCCCACTAACAATAGCTTGCAAAAATTCCTTAATAATGACATTTTCACCCTCCCCACTAACAATAACTTGCAAAAATTCCTTAATAATGACATTTTCTAAATGCCTCAGAGGAATCCAATGTAACACCCTCCCCACTAACAATAACTTTGCATATTCCAATGCTCAAAGAGCTTCTGTGGCTAAGGATCGGTGAAACAAAACAGTGAAAGGATTTCACTTGGCTACAAAAATGAAACAGTTCAGACTGACTTAGATGGAGAAATGATTAGTTAATTTAATTTAATTACCTCGACTTGGTGATGATAAAACTACAATTTTATTGATATGATAAAACAGGTATGAGAACATACATTATATGTGTTTGTGTATAACATATATAACAATGAATTCAAACAAGAGTGAGTACAGTGAGTGAGGGTGGGTTCCTTTGAAAACTCAAAAAATTGAGACTTGAGATGGAGAATTGAAGTTCAGCAAATCTGATCTCTTACACAGGGGAAGCACAAGCTAATCTAGCAGCATTTGAATCTCAATCTGAAGTTGGCTTTAATCTCCAGCATTTGATGATATGATAAAACTACAATTTTATTCATATGGTAAAACATACATGCATGTATGAGAACTAACATTATAACAATGAATTCAAACAAGACAGAGTGAGGGTGGATGGGTTCCTTTGAAAACTCAAAAAATTGAGACTTCTTGAGATGGAGAATTGAAGTTCAGCTCTGACCCTTCCTGCAAACTGCAATGCTATGTGAGCACCATGCATCAGATTTCTGAGAAGCTCACCAGCCCACTATGCAAAATTTGTCATGCCTTCCAACAATTTCTGCAGGCCTTCCTATATATACTTTCAAAAACTGAAAATTAAGCAATAAGCTTAATTCATTTTTCTCTGACACAAAATAAACAGTTATATGTGCTCATAAAACATACCTACTGCTATTCATTCATCACTCTCTTCCTCCTCAAGCCTACTACCATGTTTTGTAAGTCTGGAAACAATAAATTCGGTAAAAAGAAAAGGTGAACACAGTTAGATAGATAAGTAAATATGAGATACAAGTGAGAGAAAACAGATCAGATAGATGATTATCCATTGTAACCATCAGCCATGAAAAATTAAAGTAGTATGAAGTGCATGTTAAATGGTGCGAGTCGAGATATATCAGAGGGATAGAAAGAGACCCAATATTTTCGGAACGAACAAGGAGGGCATCATTTCCATAGTTGTTGTTTTGCTCTTCTTGAATCCACTTTGCAGAAGCCACAACGGAATCCCTACATCCGCTTAACTGAATCAATGCTAGAGTGGTGATATGGGCAAAACCACGAGGGATTTCTTTCAACGAATAGCACTCACTTATCTCTAAACATTCGAGCATAGGGAAATGGTCAGCCACAGCATTCCAACATACCAAATCTATTTTTTTAATTACCAACCTCTTCAATCTATGGTACCCTCCATCAGATGTCTCCCACTCTAGGCCATCACAAGCATCTATCAATTTTAGAACCTCCAGATTAGGCAACATACTAATAGCGCTCAGCTCACACCACTTCAGATTAGACTCCAAGAAGCTGAGCTTCTTAAGATTTGGTAAACTAGTTGCCCATGGGATGCTACACATATCAAGGTTGAATTTCGTCCACCTTTTGATGCTTAGTTTCTCAAGCTGCTCCAAGTGCACAAAATTATAAACCCAATCTAGACTATTTAGACTATAAAAAGAGTATCCACCATCAACTCCCAATTTTTTTAAATTCGGAATCATTGTAAACAGATCCTTTGTACATAAGTGAGAATCCAACCAAGATATATTCTCTAAGTTTCTATAAACAACCGACGAAGTTTCTAATGAACAAATTCTTCCAATGCAAAAATTCCTTAGTAGTGGCATTTTCCAAATTCCAGATTCCCCTGAAGAATACAATATAGCACCATCCCCACTAACAATCAAACTTTGCATATTCCAATGCTCAAAGAGCTTTATCTCATTAGGCATATATGTGGACAATGCTAAATATCTCAAATGAACAAGATTTGCAAACACATTTAGGTTTATAACTCCATACCAAATTCCATTTCTCATGTCTACTACTCTTAGTAGTTTCAAGTGTGAAACTAGATGTTCCACAATTGCATTACCAGAATAGTAAAAATGATGAGTAGTTAGGTGAAAGGAATGAGGTTTGTGAAAGCACTCATCTTCATACCTAACTTTATTATAGAAAGATCTTGGTGTATGGGTTATCCAACGACAAGGTCTTTTAACTCCATTGACATTCAATAGATTTTCAAGTCTAGCTTCTCTCAAGCACAAATCTCGCAACAGATCATGGATCCTTATTCTCTTCATTTCCCCATTGTAGCTATGTTTACTAACAATAACAAGACTTCTATCAACAAGATCTTGCAAGCATTCCATAGCCACTTTCTCCAAATTCACATGCTTCACAGTGCTCAAAAATCCCTCTGCCGCCCACAACCTAACCAACTCCTCCACAGAGATCTCATAATCTTCTTTAAAAATTCCAAAATATAGAAAACATGCTTTTAAGTGGTGTGGTAATTGATTGTAACTCAAATATAGTATTCTAGAACATGCATCACTAGAATCACCCATTACACTTTTTGCAACATTCTTCCACTTTTCCTCCTCCTCTTCTGTCTTGGAGAGAAGACTAGCTGCTATAGTAATAGCTAGAGGTAAACCTTTACATTTCTTCACTATGTCTCTCCCAATTTGGTCAAACACTAGAAAGAATTCAGTTTTACCAAAGACTTTGCAGTAGAGATTCCAACTTTCATTGGCATCTAAGAAAGGCATGTTAAGAGGAGAGTTACCTGAGCTTGCATATTCTGCCACCTCTCTGAGTCGAGAAGTCAATAGTATACGACTACCATTATTATCATCTGGAAAGCATCTTTGCACACTATCCCAAGCATTAGTGCTCCATATATCATCCATCACTATCAAATACCTCTGTTCCTTCAAGTGTTTACGCAGGCGTTCAGCTAATTGATCTTGGTCAGTGCTCTGTTTATGGAGTTCATCTCTTGATGCTGCAATAACACAACCAATAAGGCATCGGAGCATTTGTTCCTGGTTAAACTCTTGGGATACAGTAACCCATGCTCGTATGTCAAAATAAGAAGTAATTGACGGATGTTCATAAACTTTGTGTGCTAACATGGTCTTGCCTATTCCTCCCATGCCAACAATTGAAACAACTTGTCTCGCCTTAGTTGTTTGTTGCGTGAGCAGCTGATCCAATATCTTCTCGAACGGCTTCACACAACCGACCATTCCACCGTCAAACTTTGAAGCGTTTCTGGAAAAGTTACTCACAATATTTTTCTTGTGTACTAGATCATGCAGTGATGATCTGGCAAGCTGTAGTCCTCTTCGTCGAATCCCACCAAGGAGTGAAACCTTTGCAAGCCTAATCAACTCATTCCTGTGGTAATTAGTCTGTTTTTCTGCTTCTTTGAAGATTTCATGAAGCCTACTGAGCAGGCAAGCTGTTAGATGAAGAAGACTATCCTTTGCTAGATAAATGGTAGTCAACTCCATCTCAATCCTTTCTTCGGCTTTGAACCATACATCTCTCATCGTTGCCTCTAAATCTTTCATCGCCCCCGCAACATCATTGCCAATCTCAGATTTCTGAAGAATGTCCTGCAGCAAGCTAAGATTTTCATGGAGAGAGGCCATCTTTTGTTCGACTTCACCCACCTTTCTGACCCGATCAAGCTGCTTCTTTCCATAAAGCCTGGGGTAACGCGCTGGTGACGCTTCCAACGCCATCTCTCTAATCTGAGCCTCAACAATTTCTTCGTCCAGCAAGCTAAGATTTTCATTACCATCCCTGATCTGGTAATCAGTCTGTTTCTGTGCTTCATTGAAGATTTGATGAAGCCTGAGCAGGCAAGCTGTTACATTAAGACTATCCTTTGCTAGATAAATGGCAGTCAACTCCATCTCAATCCTTTCTTCCGCTTTGAATGATGCATCTCTGATCTGCGCCTCTAAATCTTTCATCACCCTCGCATCATGACAGGCGATCTCCATTTTCTCAAGACTTTGTTGCAGCAAGCCAAGATTTTGATGGAGAGAAACTATCTTTTGTTTGACTTCACCCACCTCCCTGAGCCTATTAGTGATTCTTTCATTTTGTGATGAACACTCTGCAAGCAGCTGCTGCTGCTTTCCACTTTTAATTAACTTCTTCTTCTTGGTGTAATCACTATGTTTTACTGATCGATTATTGAAGATTCCATGAAGCTTCATCCAACCCTTTGAAGACGCTTCGTCCAACTCTACATCTTCCATCGCCATATCCTCAAGAATTTGTTGCAGCAAGCTAAGATTTTCATTGCCATCGTCTCTGATCTGTTCCGCTAAATCTTCAAGAGGAAAGGGTGGTTGTGATTGCAAGAAATTTAGAGAAAGTGTTTCCATAAGTGAAGTTACAGCAGCGTAAGCCATTTAATTTGCGTCGGAAAATCAGAAGACTTACATAGATCGATCTGATACAATGTAAACCGGAATTCGTTGGTCAACGCCAGAGTTCAAATAAACCTAATTTTTAAATTAGCTTCTTCCTTTCTTGTCATATTTGCAATTTTAGTCCCTAAATTATAGGACAAGCACAAGTGTAGTTCTTAATTACCATAATTTATAAATTTGGCTCTTAATTAGTCCCTGAAAATGAGTTAATTTGTGGTTCAAAAATATATTAGAAATCAAAACTATAATTTTTATAAACGACTATTTTAGTCTTTGATTTTTGAAGGAACTGTTTTAGTCTTTAGAAAGACAAAAAGAGTTAGGGCTGTGCAAAATCGAAGGAATCCGACAAAACCGTCCGATCCGAAATTCGCCAAACACCATCCAACCTGAACCGTATCCGAACAGTCATTATCCGACCCGAAGGCCTAAACGACGTCAGAATAGAGGGCTCGGATAAGGTAGTGTAAAATCACATCTGACCCGCCCGAAATATATTAGGGTTTGCACACCCCTAGTACTACACGACGTCGTATTAGCTAAGTATATAAGCGTATGTTGATCAGCTCATTTACCCTAGCTCTTCATTTGCGCAGTCGCAGACCTCAGCTTCTCTAATCTCTCTACTCTCTAGACTCTTCGTCTCTTCTCTGAGACTCTGAGTTCTCTGTTCTGATCTTCTCACTTCTTAGTTCTCTTTGAGTTTATGAGACTCTAACTCAGAGTCTGATCTCTTCTCCTTTCTTGTTCTCCGATAGTCTCTCTCTGTTACTTTAGAACCCTAGTTCTAAAGTCTGAATCTCTCGAATCTCAGACATCTCCGAGACTCCGATAGTCCGATTGTCCAGTACTCCGGTGGACGGTGGTGGAAGCCCTTATCGTGGTGATTACAGAGTAGAGACCCTTGTTCTCCGGGGAATATTTAGGGGAAATCAAGTAAAGCTGAAACCCTAGTTTTTATATTTATGATTTGTTGATTTTATTCACTGCATGTTGATTTGTTTGTGTTGTATTATGAATTTGTTATATTTTTATGGTGGAAGCTGTTGTAATCGCAAACCCTATTTTTTTTTTTTTTTTTTTATGTATGATTTGTTGATTTTAGTCACTGGCTCACTGAATGTTGATTTGTTTGTGTTGTATTATGAATATCAGAATATGTTATATTTTTATGGTGGAAGCCCTTAACTGTGACTTGTGATATATTCTTATTATCTGATGTTCTGAATCTTCTGATGGTGGAAGCCCTTAACTGAAAAGTGTTGTGATTATCCAATGTTTTGTGATGTTATGTGATCTATTTTGAATTGTGATGTCCCTTGAAAAGTTAAATGCTTAAATGTGAAATGGTGGAAGCCCTTAACTGAAATCCAGATAATGATAAACTGGATAAAATTCCTGAATCTGGATTTCTTTGTGAATATGTTTGTGGAAGTATGACCCTTAAATGTTCTTAACTGTTTGTGCATAGTAAATATGTAAATGTAATATCATGAAATCTTGATAGATGATGACACAAACAAGTGTCTGAATCTGGATTTCTTTCAATTGTTTGTATGCTTGATCTGGCAATCTGTTTTTCTGTTTAACAAATAATTGTCTGAAATCTGAATATTGTTGATGCCCATCTTTATAGATGGAGAGCATCTCTGAACCTAGTTCTGGACCACAACCTTCAACTCAGGAGGGACAACCCCAAGGCACTGAGATACCTCAGCAGCCTCAGGTGACTCTTGCTATTCCAGAAAAAAAAAAAGAGAAAAGAGGTTGAGGCTATATCAAAGGTGTGGGAACAGTTTGAAAAGATATATGATAAAGACAAATTGCTGATTAAGGCCAGGGGAGGTGCCTATACTGTTCTAGGCAATTTCATTGTCAGCCAAAAAAAGATGGCACTTCCTCTTTAAGAAATCATATGGTCAGCTGTCTTAAAAATCCTAACTCCAAGAGTACAAGGCAGTCACTTCTGACCTTCAATGCTGTCTCATCCCCTACACCAGAGGGTTCTGAAGGGGTAATTGGGGCCTTAGGCACATGGGTGTTTAATCAGGAAGCCATTAGGAGGGCTTTATGTGAGATGATTATAATAGATGAGTTGCCCAATTAGGTTTGTTGAGGGGATAGGGTTTAGGAGATTTATTATAGTTGCTTGCCCTAGGTTCCAAATCCCTTATAGGTGGACAATGCGTGTCGAGGGATATTTTCCAAAGATACCTAGATGAGAGACTAGTCCTTAAACAAATTTTTAAGTGTAGCTCACAAAGAGTTAGCTTAACCACTGACACATGGATCTCTGTACAGAGGATAAACTACATGTGCATTACTGCACATTTCATTGATGATCAGTGGAAGCTCAACAAAAAAAACCATAGCCTTTGTCCATGTTTCATCTCATAGGGGAGAGTATATAACCAAGGCCTTGGAGACTTGTCTGGTTGAGTGAGGTATTAAGAATGTCTTTACTGTCACAGTTGACAATGCCTCTTCCAATGATACTGCTATGGGATTTTTTAAGAGTAAGTTGATGTCTTGGGATACCACTTCTGTAAGGTCTAAGTACATGCACATGAGGTGTATAGCCCACATTCTGAATCTGGTGGTGCAAGATGGGTTGAAGTTTGCTGATAGTTCAGTTAAAAGGGTTAGGGAAGCAGTTAGATGGGTTAGGAACTCCCCTGCAAGGCTAAAAAAATTTAGAGATCTTGCTGAACTTATTGGGGTGGAAGCCAAATCAGCTTTGCAGCTGGATGTTCCTACAAGATGGAATAGCACATATATGATGCTGAACACTGCAATCCAGTACCAGGCAGTCTTTGATGCCTATTTGGGGAATGATTCCTCATTTTCTACTGACCTTGGTACCTCTGTGCCTACTTTTATGGATTGGTTTGATGTGAAAAGCTTGGTAACTCTGCTAAAAACGTTCTATGACATGACTGTAAGAATTTCTGGTTCTCTTTATGTGACATCTAACACTTTCTTCAGTGAGATCTCTGATCTTAGTTGCATATTAGATGACATGACTGGTGGTGAACCTGGATCTGAAAAGGTAAATTTCATTCCTGTTAAAGTGTTAATTTTTTAACAAATTTGTCTATTAACAAATATTAATTCTTTGCATTGTTACAGGAAATGGGCACCCAAATGAAAACTAAGTTTCTGAAATATTCGGGGGACCCTGAAAAAATGAACTGTGTGATCTTCTTTGGAACTATTTTGGACCCTAGAGATAAAGTTAAGTACATGCCTACCCAGTTAACTCAACTTTATGGTGATGATAAAGGCAAAGCCTGTTTTGATAAGGTCCAATCTGCACTTCTTGAGCTGTACAATGATTATGCAGCCACTTACTCTGTGGATGTGAACACTGAACAAGCTGCTGTTGCCAACCTTCTCAACCTGTGACTGTGCAGCCTAGTGTTATAACTGTTGGTAGGCCACAAGGTAAGTTGAAAAGTCAATTGAAAAGGCAAAGGGGATAGAGAGTGGTGGAAGCCTTAAACAGACTGACCTGCAAAAATATTTGAGTGAGGCCATTGTGGAAGATAAGGTTGATTTTGATATCCTAAAATGGTGGAAGGTGAACTCTGATAGACTGCCAATTCTCTCTAAAATGGCAAGGGATATTCTTGCAGTTCCAATATCCACTGTGGCTTCGAAAAGTGTTTTTTCAACCAGTGGTAGAGTGTTGGATCCATTTAGGAGTTCCTTAACTCCTAAGATTGTGGAAACTTTAATTTGTACACATGATTGGTTGAGATTACCAAATCAACCTATACAGATTGAAGAAAATATTGATGATTGTGAAAGGCTTGAAAAAGGTAATAAACTACTACTTAAATACTTTCATTATTATGTATATTTTTTTATGATACTTAATATGTGTTTTTTTATTTGTAGAGTTGCCAATTGGAGTTAGGAGTGCTGGAACTTCCCTACCAACCATTGCAATAATGTTCATTCATTCTTCTCTCAGTATTATATTCAGCTGTTATTCTGTTCTCTTAGAAAATTAGATTATCATTCTGTTATGAGTTATGGCTTATGAATTCAATTATGTAAGTGCGTTTTAGTGCCTCAGCCCCTTCCACAGTTCCACTTGATTGAACATCAGGTTACTGCTTTACAGGTATAACAATATCAGTTGATTCAGTTCAGTATGTGCAGTAGTATGGGCTATGATGATGCTTCTACCTTTGTCTAAATCGAAGGACTTGGGGTTGGTATGTTGCTCAAGTTTTGGATTTTGTTCCAAAACTTTAGAAGCAATTTCCCCCAAATCTTAATGATATGAAAACACAGCAATCTGAGCCTATTTTGGATTTGTGAGCAAAAAATATTCAACTGTTATTCTTTTCAGTTTTTTTTTTTTTTTTTTTTTTTTTTTTTTTTTTTTTTGTGTGTGTTATTTAAGTTTGCACCTTAAGCAGGAAGATGATGAATGCTGATTGCTGAGTGCATGAGTTGCTGGCTTGCTGTTGCTGCATTTAGTTTTTGAATGGTTCTTTAACAGCTGATTTTTTGATAATTTGAATCTGTAAACTGTTTTTGAATTGTAACTTGCATTGTAAGTTGTAAGCTGTAAAGTTTATATAACTTGTTAGCTGTTAGGGGCATAGCATAGGACTAACTTTTAAGTTGTGAACTTGTGATTTTGAAGTTGTAAATTGTTAACTAGTAGTAGTTACTACTTAGAAGTTAACAAGTTACAACTTAATTAGTGCTGATTTACTTATTTAGTAGTTAATTTGCAGTTTTTATGAATTTTTTACTCATATCCGATTTAGTCCGAAATCCGATTTTTACATATCCGATAAGTTTAACCTTAAAAAATAAACGGATAGGGGATTAATAGCTGTAATCCGAAAACCGAACGGATTTCCATTCTCGAAATCCGAACCCGTCCGATGAACACAGCCCTAAAAAGAGTCACTTTTGTGACTATTGAAAGTCATGATAATTAACGCTATTACATAAAT